AATACATTGCTAGAGCTGAATAAAGAGTCTTGAAACAGATTCATGGAGGAAGGACATATTGTTCAATAGATGGCATTGGGACAATTAGGTAAGCATTGGGAAAAGAAATGAAGCTAGATCCTGACATTACACCATAATTGTGGTTTGAATTATGTTTCAAAACATATGTTGAGTCCTAACCCCTGGAACTTGTAAATGTGACCTTATTTGGGAATAGGGTCTTTGCAGATGGAATCAAGTTAAGATGAGGTCATTAGGGTGAGCTCTAATCCAATGGGTCTGATGTCCTTGTAAGAAGAGAAGAGACACAGACAGAAACATGCAGGAAGAAGGCTACAGGAAGATGGAGGCAAAGACTGGAGCAATATGTTGAGAAGCCATGGGAGGCGAAATGTTGCCCACAACGTCAGAAGCTGGGAGGGTGGATGGAACAGATTCTCTCCGAGAGCCTTCAGAAAAAGCACAGCCCTGCCAACACCTTGATTCACACTCCTAGCATCCAGAACTGTGAAAGGATAAATTTTTTAATTGTTTTATGCCACCTAGTCTGTGGTAATTTATTACAGCAGCCCTAGGAAATTAATACTATATACAATAAAAGATTCCAAAAGGTCAAATAATTAAGTGTTTAAAAATAAAGCATGAGTAGAAATAATGGAGAGGGTATAGTTTGGAGACAAGAAAGACTTTCATCCTACCACTAATGTCTAAAATTATGAAAGAAAAGATGGACCAACCAACTACATAAAAATTACATATTTCTGTAGAGTTCACCAAAAAAAAATTGAAAGAAAAATATCTCTTTTCAACATGTGAAAAAAAAGCTTATATGCACAATGCATAAAGGCTTCTATAAATCAGGGAAAATGTAAATGACCCAACATGTACATAAACAAATTAAATGACTAAGCAAACTATAGAAGAAATCCGAATGGCAATGAAGCCTGTAGCAAGCTGTCCTGATTCACTGAATCAAATAAGTTAAAAGTAGGCTAAAAACATGTAATTTCCCCTAAAGCATCCTGGCAAAAATGAATCAGGTTGATGACCTCTGGCACTGACAGTAGCAGCTCCTAAACTTCCCAGCCAGAGGGATTTAGGCAGGCTGGTTGTGCCATGAAGGAGTAACTCAGCAGACTCAACTTGCCCAAACCCCACACATGGTTCTTGGTTGGCTACTGGGAGATGAGCTCTGAGCCCTTGGACTATCCTTCCTGCTAACAGTGCCTTTGCACGTCTGAGGCCCTGGGCCGCGCCAAATAATTAATGTTAATGATGGGACTTGCAGTGAGCACATGTTATTTTATGCCTGAGGCTGTGGGCTACGCAGTGTCATTTTGACTTCTGGAGGGCTGGGGTTTGAGTAGCTGTGGTTGGCCATGGAGCACAGCATGGCCCTGTGACTGAGCCCAGCAAAAGCCCTAGACCCTAAGGCTCGGGTGAGCTTCTCTGATTGACAGCACTTGGTGAGTGTTGTCACACTGCACTGCTGGGAGAATTAAGCACTGTGGCTGCCAGTCCCAGGGAGAGGACGGCTGCTTACTTGTCCTGCTCGCTCCTGGATTCTGTCCCATGTGCCTTTTCCCTTTGCTACTTGTAATCTGTGAATTTGCTGCTATAAACCACAAGCATAAATACAATAGCTCTTCTGAGCTCTGTGAGCCCTTCCACTGAATATTGAACCTGAGGGTGGACTTGGGGACCACCCCCCCAACACAGTGGTCTCTTTAGAAGAAGTTAGAAACTGAGTTTGCTGAGCACTTTACATGAGAATTATCCATATGAAAGAACGGAGGGGAAAGGTTGGGGGGGTGCTGTCAGAGATGGGGGAAGACGGGGCGGATGGCCCACACCTGGGCATGGCGGTGAGCCCCTGGGGCATCGGGGGTGGCACCCAAGCCGCCAGCTCTGGCCAGCCCAGGGCGAGGTGGGGGCTGATCTGGTAAAGCAGCAGTGCCAGGAGCGAAGCTGTCTTGAGGCTCCACCTGGTGATAGATGTGTTCCTTCCGCGCCTCCTTATTTAAATGGATTGTGACACTTCATGTGCCTGGTAGCAAGCAACAAGAGTTCAGACATTCTACCCAAAACACAGCCTTGGTGAGCCACTTGGAAGTTATTTTCCTCTTGTTATGGACTGAAGTGTGTGTCTCCAAAATTCATGTGTGGAAGCTCCTAGTGTGACCGCGTCTGGAGGTGGGGCCTTTCAGGTCATAAGGTCATTACGGTTAAGTGAGATCATAAGGGCGGGGCCCTAATCCAGCTTGACTTGTGTCTTTATCAGAAGAAGAGACACCAGAGGGGCACATGCAGAGGAAAGACCGCGTGAGGACACACAGAGAGAAGGCGGCTGCCTGCAAGTCAGAGAGGAAGGCCTCAGGGAGCACCACCCCTGCCAACACCTTGATCTTGGACGTCCAGCCTCCAGGCTGTGCGAAACAAACATCTGCTGTTTAAGCCCCCGGTCTGTGGAATTCTGTTACAGCGGCCCGAGCGAGCTGATGCAGCTCTGAAATGGATGAAAAGTCCTCAGGTATCATGTGGCCCCGCAGCCTCGTCCTCTGTTCTTATCTCGCTCCCTGAGGGCCTAAGGCACTGGCTTTGAGCAGCACTGCCCGAGGACGTGGGGAGCCACCCGGTCCAGGCACGGGGACTTCGTCGCCCAGGGATGCAGGGTGGTGGGAAGAGCTCCTTCTGCTCAGGCTCTGCCCCATCTGAGGGTAGAGGAGGCTGACGGTCTCAGCCAGGACGGGGTGTCACCCCAGTGAGCAGTCAGGGAGACCTTGTGTCCCTGCAGTCTTCACCCAGCCTGGGCCCCTCTGATCTGCCCCCCGTGGAGCCTGCCTGCTCCCCTCAGAGACGAGAGTGCCCACTGCCACCCCACATTCTGGGGAGCCTGGGCCCCAAACCCACCCATGAGGTCTGGCGCCGTTGGGCCTCTGCAGCCTGTCCACCTGGGCACCCGGGCTGGGAGTACACCTGCTCGAGTCCGGGTGCGGAGAGGATGCGGGGCCTCGGGTCCAACACCTCGGAGCACCCCTCCCCTGGGATGCGGGCTCCAGGTGCACATGGGGGGGCTCTTTGATTTCTCCTCCCCAGACCCAGCCTCTGCCTCCACCTGCCCTGAGGACCAGACTGTAATTTTCACAGCGATACCATGTCCAGGTCAACTGGGGAGGCAGCCCTCTCAAGACAGGCGTACCCACTGGAGTGTCTCCACCAGCGTGACGGGAGATGGAAGAAAGTTCTCCAACAAGGTAGCTCCGATCTTACTATTTTCATTATTATATAATTACGTATATCATTAAAGTGATCTTTTTATCCCACATTCATTTCATGCCCAGTAGTGTGCTGGGCACTGTGCAAAGGGTAAATGATTGCATTTTATTGATGAAACCACACCAAGTCATGGGTTCCATAAAAACAGCTATGTTGAAACAGGCATGAAGTACTTTATGTAATAAAGAGGATATAGAAAGACGATTTGGAACAAGTCAATGTTGGAACAGGCCAAGGAGGGGCCACTTGGAGTGGAAGCATCTCGCTGGGTGACACGTTCCTTCCAGAATCGTGGATGAAGCACTTCCACTCTGACTTAATATGACCCTGTTTTTGTTTTCAGAGCAAATGTCTCGGTGCCCCTGGGGCAGTGTGATGCAACCCTCTGTTCACTCTCTGTTTACAGTTTCTGAGAAACAAAGATGTAATTGAGTCTTGCAGTTTAGGCTAATTACTTATCTAATGCCCATGGAGGGACTCACCTCTCCTGTCCCCTGGAGGTGGTGGCGATGGGGAGGCAGGACCCTCTGAAGCTGCGTTTGGATTGCAAGATTTTTCTTAGAGGCAGTGCTGATTTCAGGTGACGGGTAGGGAGTAGGGCTGGGAGTTCCTGGGTCTGTAAGCCTTAACAATCTGCAATAAACCACTTACTGGCATCATTACCTTCCTTCTAGGGGCCACTGCTGAGTCTTCTAAGGGCCAGAGAGGAGGGCCCCTCCTCCCAATTCTCCCCCTGGTCCTTCTGATGCTGAAAAGTCAGCTTCCCCACGGGGCGGCAGGGACCCAGCCCTCCTGCCCCCGCAGCCGTTGTTTCAGAGGCCCTCCCACGGGGTCTAACCTCGCACCTCCACTTTCTGGAAGTTTCTGGCCAGCATTTCACACTGCCTTCCACGAGCTTGTCCATCTCCCTCTATTTAAGGATCTTTTAAAGCATTTAAACAAAATTAACAGTAAGGAAATTGGAACTTGTTCCTAACATTGTGCCAAGCACTGTATCAGGCACTTTCGTGTTCGGCAACTCACTTGGGCAAGTTACTTGGCCTCTCTGTGCCTCAGTGTCCTTGTCTGTACAAGTGAATCTCATGGTACCTGTCCTTAGTCACAGGGCTATTGTAAAGGAGGGCGGATGTTATACACGTAAGATGCTCAGAACAAGGGACGGAAAGTGCTCAATAAAGGTGAGCAGTTGTTTCACTTACCATCCCCCTCCGCATCCAGATGGTTATTTAGCCCATTATGCAGATGAGAAAATGGAGGCTCATGGAAATAAAGCAATCCTCGTGAATCCCTCCTGGGGGAAGGGGTCCGGCCACAATTCAAACCAGGCCAGGCTCCTCCTCCACATCCCACATCCCTCCTGCCAGGCTGCAAAAGCGTTTCTGCAACCTAGACAGTGGTTATCACCTCCCTGGTGTGTTTTCATCACCTCCTTTCAAATCCTCCTACACAGACCCGGGGCTTGCAAATAGTTTTGATTGCAACCCTTGGTAAGGATTGTTTTACATTACAACCCGGAACAGATATGTATGAAAGTTTCCTGAAGTGATGCTTTCTCATTCCGTGTTCTGAGCAGCCCACCCAGTATTTTTCTATTCGGTTCGGCTTTGTTTTGTGTTTAAAAGCTAGCTTCAACTCAGCCTCACGTGGCAGTTTGAAAACCACCAGTGGGGAAAGTGTGAGAGAGTTTAACCAAAGCACCTCTGCCAGGTGAGGTCCTGAGTGCTCCCTCTGGCTCCCTCAGCCGGCCTCTCCCCGCCAGACCCCAGTCCCAAGATACAGGGTCCCGGCGCTCCTGGTGGGCACCTGCAGGTACGTGACGCTCATCTCCAGGCCCACGTGTGCCTGCCGGCCTGGGCCATCTGGATTCACTTGGGCAACATCCAAGAACACGTTTCTTTAGGATTTTATCCATTCGGAGCCCCCTTTACACAGGAGATGATCCTTTGCTGTTTGCATCTTGGTGTCAAAGGGGCTGGTACTAAAGGCTAGGGAGACTTGAACCTCTGAATAGAAACCATCCAGGGCTTAGCAAGGTGGAGAGAAGAACGAGGGAAGACGCTAAAGGAAAGCTCCACCCGGGAGGAGCGGCCCCCGGGCGCCATCTTGACTTGCCAGTCCAGCTGTGGTCCCTGCCAGCCCTGCCCCTCCCTCCCGACCCACGGCCGCGCCGCCCTTCCCAGCTTCCTGTGCTCCTCGGTGCGGCCCGTGCCCACAGGATGTACATGGACGGGGTGGGCGACATGCCCAGGCCTGGCCCAGGAAAGCTGCCCTCCGTGCCCCTCCCTCTGCAGCTTGAAGCAGATAAACACAGGGACCTTGGAACCCTGCATGGACGGGGAAGGAACTTGGATCCCCACAGCCTGCTCAGGCGGACACCCTCTGCTCACCGGGGTCACTCATTCTGAGCGTCACATGAGTTAGAAATCAATGTACACCATGTAAAGCCACTAATGTAAAGCCATCACTCCAATACACAGATGTTCTTGGAATTTCAAAACTATCCAAGTTCAAGGCAGTGGAGCAAGAGATTCTTAAATATACCAAATTTTATTGAGCAGAAAATTTACTTTGCAACGTACAGGGTTGAATGGTGTCTCCCCCAAATCCATTAGGAAATACGGTTTTTGCAGATGGAATTAAGCTGAGATGAGGTCATCCTGGAGGAGGGTGAGACCTGACTCTAACATGACTGTCCTCATGAAAAGAGAAAAATCTGGACACAGAGACACAGACGCAAGAGAAGGCCTTGTAAAAACAGAGGCAGAGATTGGAGAGATGTGGCTTAAATCAAGAACACGAAGGACCGCTGGCGCCCCCAGAGTTCGAAGAGGGAAGGGAGGCGCCTTCCCGAGAGCCTTCGAAGGGAACGTGGCTCTGTCGGTTTGCGGCTTCTCACCTCCAGAACTCTGCCAGAATCAAATTCTGCTGTTTTAAGGCCCCCAGCCTGTGGCACTGTTGCGGCAGCCCCGGGGAAGCTAACATGGTCTGTAATCAAAGCTTCGTGTAATTTTAAGAAAATGCTCTATTTTTAGCCCAGTTCTAGGCAGTGTGCTCCTACAAAGACAGACAGCATCCTCAGTCTATGCTTCCAGCTGGAGGATGTGAGCACAGACTCCAGGGGAGACCCCGCCTCCTCTCAACCTTCCGGAGAAGTCCCCTTGGGGTCCGGATGCCTGGAGGCTTCTGGGCAGCCAAGCTCTCCACCAGCAGAAAACACTGTTCTTCAGGCTACCAGTCGAGGCTTAACTGCCCTTGAATGTGGTTTGTCCCACCCTCCGCGGTAGTCTGTGCCGTGTGGTGACAGGGAGGCGGCGGCGGCCTGGAAGATAAACACCTTGAAAGGCCAGACACACCCACCTGCCATTCCTAGAACCTGACCCAGTTGGTGGACGCCCACTTATCAGCCCGGGCCACGTATATCGAGGTTTGCTGACCAGAGTCACCCCCCTTTATTATCATCCTAGTCACGTTTTAACTTCACTTCAGTTATTCAGAAAAATAACAACTTATGCATTCCATGGCTTCCTGAATCAAAGGCAAAGTGTACTGCGAGCACAATGGCTAATCAGGCCACCTCCAGGATGCTGTGATGAGCATTCCTTAGCAAACGGGCATCTTTCTAAAACCGGACAATCACTCCATGTGCTAGTTTGCTGGGGCTGCAGTGATAAAGTACCATTAACTGAGGGGCTGGTGTCAGCAGGGTTGATTCCTTCCGAGGGCATGGGCGAGAGTGTGGCCCACTTTCCTACTGGCCATCTTTGGCCTTCTTTGGCTTGTGGGCATATCAGCCCAGCCTTTGTGTGGCGTCCTCCCTGTCTGCGTGTCTGTGTCCACATTTCCACTTGTACAAGGGCACCAGTCGTACTTATCAAGGCCCACTGTATTGGTATGAACTTAGGTTAACTCACCACATCTGCAATGACCCTACTGACACGGTCACATCCTGGGATTTCAACATATGAATCCTCAGAGTGGCCGGGAACGTAATTCAGCCCAAAACACTCCATTTCAATTATTTTCGTTCGAACCTGTACCTTAATGTATCAGGTTTGCTTTCAGTGGGTGTAACCTCCGAAATGGCAACGTAGGGGTTTAAAGCATCACTTGGTACCATTTTGGAAAACTGTTCAAAATTTTTTAAAAGCCAAATAGAGACTCTCTGATCCCTAAATTCACTCCAAGACACACGGTGAAGAGGAATGTGTGTGTGTTCACCGAACGCAGGTGCCGGGATTTACAGAGCAGCGCTGTTGCTAATTGCCAAGACCGGTGACTGTCCCAGGTCCCACCAGCGGGGGGGCTGGTGGTTAAATGCTGGTGGGCCCCTCGGAGGAATTTCACGAGGCAGTGGAAAGGAGCACACGCCAGCCTCACGTAGCAATACAGACGGACCTAGCGACTGTCATGTCAGCCGGAAAAGTCAGACACCAAAGAGAACAGAGTTTCATTCTGTTTACTTGCACTTCAAAACCAGACGAGGACGTCAGGGTCAAGCAGGCGGTTACCCTTGGGTGGGTAACCAGTGGCCCATGGGACTAGGGGAGCCGTTTCTCTGCTGTTGATAGTGTTCTGTTTCTCCATCTCAGTGCTGGTTGCTAATATGGTCAGTTTGTGAAATTCACTGAGCTGGATTTACAAGAAATGCACTCTTTCTGAGACGTGCACTTGTTTTATAGGTATATTGTGCTCATTGGAAGCTTTAATTAAGAAAAATGTACCCTGTCCTATTAACTACAAGCACAGTGATTTAGGGTCAAACGTCTCTAAGCTCGATTTCTTTTCACTTGTAAAATGAGATTATAAGAGTTACTCCCATTCCGATAGAATCACTATGAAGAATAGTGTAAGTATTGCTCCTGGCTCATAGTCATTGCTCAATAAATGTCAGCATTTTTTTAACTCGGCATAAAAATCTTTGGTGATGGACAGATGGTGGTCCCCTTTGGGGGGCTATGACTGGGGTGGGGAGTGAGGGCCTCTGGGGGGCAGGTGATGGGTGGAACTGAGCCGTGGTCACAGGCATTGCTCACTTGGTAATCATTCTCCCAGCTGTGTGCTTGATGTGTGGGCTTTTCTGGGCATACGTTTTACTTTAATTTTAAAATAGTTTGCCAAAGGTGAAAAGAAAGGTCTCCATTTTGTAGATGGTGAGGATTGGATGAGCTAGGATACATAAAGCACTGAGCACGGTGCTCAGTCACTGTCTGCTGGTAAACTTGCACAATTCCTCATCCAGCAGCATTCTTTGGGTTTGGGCATTCAATCTGGGGGGCCTTAGGCAGATGGGGCACATCCTGAATATCATGCACTGCCCCCAGCAGCCTGAGATCGTGCCTTACGATAAACACGGTGTTGCTACTCACACCACGGGGGATACACTGCCCTGCACTGGTTCAGATCAGGCTTGCTGCCGGATACGGGTTTTGTCTCCAAACTCACCAAAAAGTGTCTTTCTCGGGCTTTTTGGATTTCAGAATTGTGGATAAGGGACTAGACACCTGTGTCATCATTATATGATGATGTGTTTTTTTCTGCAGCTGGAAATTAGATCATTTGTGCCCCAGGCTTGTCCTTATCAATGTTAAGCCATGTTTCCCACTTGCAGAGACTTGGAAACTGGAAAGGAAACAGGAAGTACTTCCCAAAAGGTACAAACATCCTTGGACATTTGTCACCTGGGAGCTGATCAGACTTCCAGAACCTCAGGTCCTGCCCAGGACCTACAAATCTGAATGCATTTTAACCAGGCCCAGGTGAGTCAAGTGCATATTCAAGTTTGAGACTCTCTGCTCCAACCCAAAGCCTTTGTTTGCTGATGGGAGGTGAGGTCTGGAGAGGACAAAGGCAGAGCCCAGGACCCCCACAGCTACTTAATGCGAGAAGCTCTAGGAACTTGTGCTTGGCTGCTGTCCAAATGTCTTCTTTGCACCATTTGATGATCTCAGTAAAGACCGTTTATTTCTCTGATAATTATGACTGCGGGTAGTGTGTAAAATGTCCCTCTCCTATTACATTTAATTCAGGCACCAAACCAAACAAAACATGAAAAGGTAGGAAAGAAAGGAGCAGAAAGAGGGATTAGTAAAATGTAAAAATTGGACAGACACAAGGTGCATTTTTCTCTGACCCTTTGGTGAAAAAGATCAGATAACAGGACACCTGTAGGTGAGGGGCCTCCAGAAACACAGCGAGGGAGAGGCTCAGCGGGGAATTTTGGATCATTCCTGTTGGAAGAATAATTGAGAATTTAGCCCATCCCAGGGAATGAAACTTCCCTGGCCTCTCTCAGGATAGGCGACTTTCAGCCTCGTGGTGAGACCGTAAAATAAGACAGAGGCGTTAACCCAAAGGAAATGCTGTTTCCTCTGTTTCTGAGCCACAAGCTGCTGTGTCACAAAGCAGACCAGGGAAGCGGGGGCCCTGACGTGAGCCACCAGGGGAACGTGACCACTTTTTAAATGTTTTCTTAAAGGTCAGTCTCCACCTTTCCAGCCTGGAGTTGATTTTTGGAAATGGTAAAAAATTCATCAGAATCAAGTCAGGTGATTGAAGTGGTGACCAAACTGAGTTCCATTTTAGGAAGCAAATCCAAACTGTGGCCACAATGTGACATTCTTGGTTTCTTTGTGTGCATTGTCATGTGGGTCTAAAGGCAACTCCTTAGGAAAGTCCCAAGACAGGTTTACGTAAGGCAGCAGCATTGGGAAAAGCTTGGAGCTTCTCAGAAGTGGTTCTGTCAAACCTACGGATAGGAGAAAATATAAGCAAATGATATGACCAGTAAGGAGTTAATATTCAGCACACATAAACAGCTCATACAACTCAACACCAAAAAAAAAAATCAACCTAATTAAAAAATGAGCAGAAGAACTGAATAGACATTTCTCCCAAAGGAGATATACAGATGGCCACCAGGCACATGAAAAGATGCTCAGCATCACCAGTCCTCAGAGAAATGCAAATCAAAACCGCAACGAGGTACCACCTCACACCTGTCAGAATGGCCATCATCAAAAAGACCACAAATAGCAAACGTTGGCGAGGATGTGGAGAAAGGGAACCCTCGTACACTGTAAGCAGGAATGTAAATTGGCGCAGCCACTGTGGAAAACAGTATGGAGGGTCCTCAAAAAACTAAAAACAGAACTACCGTATGAACCAGCAATTCCACTCTTGGGTATTTATCTGAAGAAACCAAAAACACTCATTTCAAAGGATACATGCACCCCAGTGTTTATAGCAGCATTATTTACAATAACCAAGATATGGAAGAATCCTAAATGTCCACCAATAGATGAATGGGTAAAGGTGTGGTATACATGTAAGTGGAATACTACTCAGCCATAAAAAAGGATGAAATTTTGCCATTTACAGCAACGTGGATGGACCAGGAGGGTATTATGCTTAGTGACATAAATCAGGCAAAGAAAGACAAATACTGTATGATATCACTTATATGTGGAGTCTAAAAAGTAAAACTAGTGAATATAACAAGAAACTGACTCACAGATATAGAGAACAAACTAGTGGTTACCACTGGGGAGAGGAAAGAGGGGAGGGGCAGGAAGGGGGAAGGGGATTAAGAAGTACAAACTATTATGTGTAAACTAAATAAGCTACAAGGATATATTGTACAGCACAGGGAAAAGGCCAGTATTTTATAATAACTATAAATGGAGCATAACCTTTAAAAATTGTGAATCACTGTGTCATACACCTGAAACTGTAAGATTGTAAATCCACTGTACCTCAATAAAATAAAATAATAAAATCAAAAGTATCACCAAAAAACAGTGGTTCTGTCAAAAAAGCAGTTTCCTCATCACGTTCCCTTTGTTAAATTTTACCTTCACCCCATTTCCAGTTTCAGACACAGGACACCCATTTTCAGACACAGGACAGGGAGGGTGTTGCTGGTGTCGAGGAGGAAAATAGGGTCACCACCGGGGGGCCAGGCCACGGCAGGTGGCAGAGGGCCAGGCAGAAGAAGGGACCAGACACAGCTGTGTACCTCTCCTCTGGCCGCCACGACAAAGTACCACAGAATGGGGGCTTAAACAACAGAAAGGCACCGTCACAGTCCTGGGGGCTGGGAGTCCGAGATCCAGGTGTTGGCAGGGCGTGCTCCCCCTGAGATCCCGTTAGAACCCTTCCTTGCCTCCTCCTGGCTTCTGGTGGTTGACCAGCTGCCTTTGGCATTTCCTGGCCTACAGCTGCATCACTGTGACCTCTGTTTCCAACGTCACATGGTGTTCTCCCTGTGTCTCTGTCTTCACATGGCTGTCTCCTTATAAAGGACACCAGTCATGCTGAATGAGGGCTCACCTGACTTCAGTAGCACCGTCGCTCAGCTGCTTGCATCTGCAGTGACCCAAATTCCAAATAAGGTCATGTTTTGCGGTGCTGGAGGTTAAGACTTCAACATATTCCTTTTGGGGGAGACACAACTCACCCCATAACACCACCTTTGTCACAGTTGCTTCTGGGATGGTGTTAATTAGACTTGTTCACCCAATCTTCCCATTGGGTCCTGTTTTTACTTCTGTTGCCTTCCATTAGCCATAGGAATCCCAAAGGCACGAACAGATAGGGTTTTTAATTCACACACCAAGCTCTTGAGAATCAGAAGGAAAGGCTGTAAGGCAATGGAGCAGCTGGTTTAAATCCTAATAAAGACCCCGGAGGGGGAGGGACACCCATGGCCCTGCCCATCGCGGACTGCATGGGAATCATGGGGGTGCAGTGGGCTGAGGCCACACCGTGGAGGAGGTTAGGGTCTAGGCGAGTGGGGTGGAGGGGGTTAGGGAGAGAAGGAAGGGTGTGTTCAGTCTGGCCAGAGGCTGAGTGGGAGCCAGAGGGAGCCAAGCCATCTTCCC